AATGTGCTGACCTGGCACAAACTCTGCTGATACAAATTTCTTTCTGAAGTTTACCGAAGAGGTAAGTTTGTCCCAGCAGACCTTACCCGGATCAGGTATCACCTGCCGCCCAGCAGCCAGCAAAAGCCAAGGGGCAGCGTAAACACAGTACGGTGTGTGCTGCCTGAATCAACGCGGTGTGGCCGTGCCCACATCTGATTCAGAACAAGTTTATACGGCAGGTGATCCACAGTACACAGGTCTGGTACTTACATGGAAGCTGGTTTAAAAAACGGTAATCTGGGTATGCTGACGTTCTCTAATTATTGAAAACGAAACCAAAGACAATCTACTCCCCCCTTTCTAATGGAGACAAATTGTTTTACACAGAACCTATGTAGTTTGGAGACCCTATATACCTGACAGTCCCCTTGTTCGTGCAGATCCTTTTTACCCTAGAGTGGGTGAAATCCCTAAATGTTACCTGTAGGGTTCAGATATCAGAAGTTTCCTGGCCTAAAATTTTAGATGAGAAGTGTTTTTTTCCAAGCCTATTAGCCTTTGCTATTTTTACCTTAAAAATGTACTTGTCTTGGGATTGATTGGTTTGAGATAGCGCTGCACCAGCTGATATTCAAAAGGTTTTCTCTGTAAACACTTGCAGCCAGAGGATTAGAAAATAAGTATTTCTAAAGTGAGAGTTTGTACTTTGTACGTTTGAATAAATGGGTTGGACGTGCAACCAGTACATAACTTTAAACAGTTGGGGGTTTAATCATGACATTAATAAAAATATGAAATCCACAAGAAAGTGACTAATATTAATTGTATAATTTAATTTTCTGCAGTATATTAGTGGGGAAATAACTGGTAAAGGAAAAATGAGGATTCATACAGAAAGATGCATAGTATAAATTACTTCATCTTGTAAAAAACTTGGATGCCTGGAAAGAAAGTAAAGTATGCATTGTAGATTTGTGGAAATAACAAATAGCTCCTTTACTAAAAAGCAATAATCTGCATAATGAAACATTAATAGATATTTTAAGATGCAGTCATTGCCTGCATAATGAAAACTATAAGATGATAATGATTTTTCTGTCTTCATGTGGTTTATTTTGCTGTTTACACACAGCATTTAATTTCCTTATTCCTGCTCCTCAAGTTCTGTTCCCTGTCCTAATCAATTTCTTTCTCATTTCTAGTCCAGAGTAACCATCCTTCCCTTTGAAAAAGAGAACATATCTAGTCCGTTTGAAATCTGCTCTTACTTGTTTTATCAGTCATCCTGACGTGTCTGTGATGTTGGGGTGATGCTGGGCTGCGTGTCAGTAGCATAACTGCTTTGTAAATTCGGTCATCTGTGTTTTCGTGGGACATTTGGAGGTGCAGACACGAAGATATTATAGTATTATTTTCTTCTGGCATTTTTGTCACCTGTGCCCCATTCACGAGCGCCAACACACTCCCAAGATCTGTCCTGTGCCGCTGGGTCCTCCTCCCGCCCCGGGTGCTGCTAGCTCTGCAGGACGGTGGCGTGTGCGGTGCGGGGGATCGCTCCTCCGATGGGGTGACTGGCAGTGGGGGGGCTTTTACCGAACCCCTGCTTTGGTGTGGCCCTTCTGAGCAGAAACGGAAGCCTCGCGACCTGCTGTGTCATTTGTTCACTAATGTGGGAAATCAGGGGAACGCTGCTGCTGCTTCCCACGGGCGAGGTGGGAGGTCGAAGCCCCCCGAAGCTCGTGCGGTGCCAGGAGCGATGTCCCCTCCCTTCGCCGGCCCTGCTGCCCGCACGGCAAAGCCCGCTGCATCTCCCCCAGGCTGTCTCGGCCTGGCTGGCTGCTGACCGGAGGGGACGCCGGGTGGTGACAGGCTTGGGGGGGTGACAGGAGGGACACCGGGCGCTGGCAGGGCAGGGGGTGACAGGACATCGGGCGGTGATGGGCCCAGGGCTGCTGGGAGAGCCACTGCAGGGCCGGGGGGCGACGGGG